TCTAGCCTTTCCATATCTGTTTAGCGGTGATGAAAGAGAAAAAACTGCATTTCTGAAGATGAAATACCATTAAAAATCATTCGATGTAGCAGTAGCAGATTTTGAAACCAATTTAACTGAAGTGATAAATCTATATACTATTAAAACAACGTGCTGTGGTGGTTTATTTTTCTTCAGAAGAATGGTACGAAGAGGTGCAGAACTAAACTACTTCATTTTAGTTCACGATAGCAAAGTCACTTGTAAAGACCTTAAGATGAGCAGTGAATGCAGTATTAGCCTCAAAGATCAGTTTCAGGTCCTTATCCTTCACGACGTCCTGGAGGGAATCGTGGCTCGCGGAAACAGTCGTAACAGCCAGCAACGACGTAAGGGAGCCGCTGTATAAAGAAAAATAGGATTTTGTTTGCGAGGTAGGATAAAAAAAAAGAAATGGCGAGGGATCCTTTGTATAAATGGAAGAGTATTTATATAGATTGTATAGATTGCAGTTAGTAGATTATCAAATGAATAAGAGAGATAGACAGAGAGAAACAGGAGGCTGTGTTCCGGTTGTGAGGTAAGAGTGAAATTTGGCGAGGGATCCTTTGTATAGATGGGAGAGCAGACTGCAGCTGCTAGAAGAGATAATGAAGTGAGTAAGAAAAAGAAAGTTAAATACGATTGCAGAAAAGGTAGATAAAGGAAAGCCTCTGGATTTGTAAGCAATTATATTTACTTGTGATTTTTTACGTAACAATAACAGGATATATATTGTAGAGATTTTAGGTACAGGGGAATAGAGAGAGAGAGGGAGAGAGAGGAGAGAGACACACGGGGGGAGAGAAGGGGAGAGGAGAGAGAGAGAGAGAGACTGGAGAAAACTGTAAACGATGACAATACAACACAGCATCCACACACAGAAAAGAAACCTCAGTGTGTAACCGTTGGGTTGCCAAGCCAGAGCTGCAACGTAAAGAGGTGAGTGGAAAAATGACCCTAATCGAAAAGCTTATTTTCTGTTCATTGGAATTGGCCGAGTTAATTGTAGGTAGCCTGATCACACATTTTTATTCATCAACCACATTATATAGTGTAATTTGAAAATGTTTTTTTCATGTTATAAATATATATTATAGTATATATATATATATATATATATTATATATATATATATATATATATATATATATATATATATATAGTATATAATTATGTATTATATATATATATAATATATCACATACACACATAGTATTTATGTGGTGTGTGTGTGGTGCGTGTGCGTGTGTGTGCGTGGTGCGTGTGCGTGTGTGTGTGTGCGTGTGTGTGTGCGTTGTGTGTGTGTGTGTGTGTGTGTGTGTGTGTGTGTGTGTGTGTGTGTGTGTGTGTGGTTGTGTGTGTGTGTGTGTGTGTGTGTGTTGTGTGTGTGTGTGTGTGTGTGTGTGTGTGCGTTTGTGTTTGAGCGCGTACGCCCGTGTGCGTGCGTGTGAGGCAAACCTGCACCCCCCGAGCGTCTCACCTTGCGTCACGAGGATGGCGAAGGCGCTCCACAGGTGGTCCCTCGCCTCCGCCGGGCCCCCGCTCCTCAGGCAGCGCACGATGCAGAAGCTCACGAAGGCCACGACGAAGAAGGAGCTCGCGACGCCGAACCACACGTACCAGCTGCGGGCCGACGGGGGACACGGGTGGTGAAACAGGGAGAATAACAGGAGGAAAGGGTAAGATCAACGATGGAGGAGAGAGAGGAAGGATGTGGAAGGAGGGATTGGTGAGTAAGATCAACGACCGAGGAGAGAGGAAGAATAAAGAAGAAGGAATAATAGGAGGAATGTGTAAGATAAACGAAAGAGGAGTGATAAAGAGAGAGGGAAAACTTCAGGAATAATTTATGAGTGCGAGAGTAGAATAACCTTCGGAGGAGAGAGAATGAGAGAGGAAGCAGAAAGAGAGAGGGAAAACATCAAGAATAAATTATGAGTGCGAGAGTGGAATAAACCTCAGAAGAGAGAGAGAAAGAGAGGAAGAAAACAAACCGAGGTAGGAAAAAAACGTACAATGAAAACTAGAAGGATTGCTTAGCTTAGAGACGTCTGTTAAAAGGCAAGGAAGATGACTTTAGAATCAGGAAAAATCTCTGGTAAATGGCACTTCCGGTTGGCCCTTGGACTTCCACTGCATTCTTATCTTTATAAAATACGAACTATGAGAGTTTTTACTTCACCTAAAAATATTCTGACAGGATGAGAAAGAAAGAAAGAAAGAGGGAGAGGGAGAGAGAGAGAGAGGGAGAGGGAGAGAGAAGGAGGGAAGAGAGAGGAGAGAGAGAGGAGAGAGAGAGAGAGAGAGAGAGAGAGAGAAGAGAGAGAGAGAGAGAGAGAGAGAGAGAGAGAGAGAGAGAGAGAGAGAGAGAAAGAAGAGAGAGAGAGACATAGATAGACAGACAGACAGACAGAGCCAGAACCAGAGGCAACGACAGAGACAGACAGACAGAGAGAGACAGAGACAGCGAAAGAGACAGACAGACATACAGCCTGAATGACCAGAGAGGACTTACGAGAAGGGCGCCACGAGTCCCCAGGGGTTCGGCTGTGGCTTCGGCCGCATCACCAGGATCTTCATCTTCTCCATCAGCAGAGGGACAGTGAAGTCGGCCACCTGACGGCGCTCGTGGGACATGGCGAACGGGCCCAGGGCGATGTCTACTTCCTGGCGAAGGAAAAGCGGGATGTTTCATTACCTCGTGATAATATAGCTCAATTGTAGGTTAGATATACTAGATTCTATCATGTAATCGCACCCCCTATACTTTCCAACTTATATCCCGTAAGCAAAATAAGTAATAATATTGACAAACGTTTCCTCCGCAGTCTATAATCGATATGCCCTTAACCCCCCCCCCCCCCCTATGCTTTAAAACCCCAATCGCTTTTAACAACAACCGCCAAGCACTCACCGCTCTTCAACATGCCGATCATGCCGTTCCAGGATCCGTTCCCGACAGGAGCGCCGAAGTAGCCATCGCCCTCGACAAACGTGTATCTGAACGAGAATATAAGTTTATATTTCTTTGCCATCCGGAGATTTTTAACAAAATCGATTCAAAATTACTTTATTTATTCTGTTACTAGCTATTAGACATTCAAATTCAAAAACAATACACATAGAGATACACGATATAGTTCTCAAAAAATAAACACTCAGAATTCATCATTACCATGAACCCCTCAGATAAAATGAATAAATATAAATTCTTATAATGAAGATTCTTAAGAATAAATAAAGATCAAGAAAGCATTAAAGATTCTTTTTCTTTTTTATCTGAGCGTTAAAATGAATCAAATAAATAATAAATAAAACCCTCAGGAAAAAGAAAATAAAAAATTCTTTACGTAAAGTTGAGAGAATCCGCGAAGGAGTTGAAGGAAATCTGCCTTGGTCCCGTGACCGTTGTTCGTCGATGGGTGAGGTTGCCGGTGCCGGAATACCTTTTAGTCCTTATATGTGATAGAGGAAGCCCATGACTCGTATAGCGCCTACCGCGCATGGTTGGCCCGGCATCGGTTCTTGTGCGGGCGCCTGTTCCCGTGTAATTAAAACGATAAATGTATATGGTAGTAAGGTGATAGAGAGATAGGAGAGTGTTGATGAATGTATTGAAAATAATAGTCTTATTCACTTTCCAAAAACATAGAGAGAAAGATAACAGATAAACACAGAAAACATACACACACATACACTCGCAAACACACACACACTAAACTCGCAAACACACACACATACACTCGCATACACACTTACAGTCGCAAACATGCACACACATACACTCGCATACACGCCACACACATACACTCGCAAACATAACACACACATACACTGCAACATAACACACACCATAACACTCGCAAACATACACACACATACACTCGCAAACATACACACACATAACATCGCAAACATACACACACATACACTCGCAAACATACACACACATACACTCGCAAACATACACACATACACTCGCAAACATACACACACATACATCAAACACACACATAACACAACACATACATCACAAACACACATACACTCGCAAACATACACACACATACACATACACACATACATTACACACACACATACACTCGCAAACATACACACACATACACTCGCAAACATACACACACATACACTCGCAAACATACACACACATACAAACATACACACACATACACTCGCAAACATGCACACACATACACTACACGCAAACATACACACACATACAAACATACACACACATACACTCGCAGCAACACACACACATACGCAAACATACACACACATACACTCGCAAACATACACACACATCATACACGCAAAACATACATATACATTCGCAAACATACGCACAACCACTCGCAAACATGCACACATATACACTCGCATACACAAACAAACAAACAAAAACACTCCTAAACACACACACAAATAAACAAACACATATCAAAATACCACCTTATCCGAGGAAACGAAAAATATAAACGAGGTATTTTCACCTTCCAATTTAAGATACTGATAAGCGTTTAATTTAAGATATTGTCAAGTATATTAGAGTTAACAATGAGTTATACAAATATAAAAAGATACATATCGGAAAGTAAATTCAACGTGTGTTCAGAGTACAAAGGACATTGGACTCACTTTCCAGTAAATGTGAGTAATGTCAGCAATGGTCCTTAGTAGACGAATCAGCGAGTAACACGCCTCGACTGGCACAGCACCATACACAGCACACACACACACACACACACACACACACACACACACACACACACACACACACACACACACACACAACACACACACACACACCACAACTACACACAACAGCAACAAACAAGCAAGCAAAGACAACAAAGACAAACAAGCAAACAGACACACAAACACAAGCACAAAGAAGCCTACACATGCATATCGACCTATCAACGTATCCAAAGGAATACATTACGGACCAACTAACGTATTCCCATGAAAAAGAACACAAAGAAAATAATTAATAAAATCAACCCCGTTGTCGAAACAAACAAACAAAAAATTCCTCGCTCTGAAAAGAAATCATGACGATAGAAGATTAAAAAAAAAAGTGTAAAATATACACAAAGAACAAAGACGAGTGAAAAATTGAGCGCAAGGAGCACTTACCAGTTGAAATATTCAGTGATCTTGCAATCATGCCTGCCCCTCCCTCCCCCGGCTCCCTCCGTCCCCCACGGCCTTCACCAGCTGGCCGACGCCGCAGCAGAGGGTGACGACAACCAGCTGTGCCAACTGCGCTGAGACGAGATCCATGGGAACTTTGAAGGAGAAATATGGAAGAGGATAAAGTGATGAATGAAAACGCGTATTTAACTATTCAACATGGTTATTATAAATACTCTTATTATTATTCATTCATTTATTTAACTATTTAACATTTTATTCAATTAATTCATTTATTTGTGTATTCAACCCTTCAACATGATTATTAGAAATACTCTTAATGATCGTAATAATAATGATAATTTTTCACCTATGACAGCTGATTGATATCACAGTAGATGGTGACAACTGGCAACGATGACAAATGTTACCGTCATGAAATCTGTGTGGACTTTGGAGAAAAAAATATTTGATGAAATAAGTTAAATATGGAAATGCGTTAGTAAATGAATTATTAAATTGTAAAACTGAAAATAAGGGAAATATGCACAGATCCATCTGATTTTATTATTCACCGAAATATTTGTATTACGAATTTTGCAAAAATTCCGGATACCTGTCCTACTTTCATTATACGAAAATATAAGTACCATTTTTACCACTGTTGACATTCGGCCGCTTCGTTAAAATTGTGCGAGGTCCGACCCAATGAACATTCGTATATACAGACATGCATATACACAGAAATAAATGTATATCTATCTGTCTATTAGGTATGTATACATTAATCTATCAACACGGTAGCTATGCATTTCTCAACTGATAGATATTTATTTCAGTGCAAAAGCATGTCCGTATTATGAATGTTTACCGGGTCGGTCCTTACATAACTTAAAACGACCTATTATCATCATCATCACTACTATCCAATTTGATGTGACATTATTGTTACGTCATCACTGTCATTTGGTCCTGTCACATCTACCTTCAGTCTGTCACATATGCCATTCCGAACTTTCATCACTAAAATTGAATCTTTTTATTACGGAAAAGCTGGTAATCCACCCTGATTCTGGATTAGTCGGAGTTGCCAAGTCATTTTTGAGATAAAAATCAAATAGATAAATAAAAGAATACATAAAAGTGATGTAAAGTCGAAAAGAATATTGTGCATGACTTCGAAAAAATACCGAGCATATGTAAACGCAAAAACGAAGTGTCGACTGATTAAAGTAGATACAAATTTGACGATTTGTATTACTCCCGAGTCCAAGGTGAGTTGCCAATTTGTCATTTCCTGAGGTTAGTGACAGGTGAGTCAGTTGGAGATGCTAATGATTTGAAATAAGTGTAATGCGATTATAGCGCCTGTCTCATTACTTATATCCTTCTTAAATCCATGTCATAAATAAACATTTGTCTCATTACTCATGCTATAACATAGATGAATTTATGTCATTACTGAGTCTTTGCCAAAAAATGAATATGTATCATAACTTATTCCGTAGAATAGGTAAATGTGTATTATTATCAATTCTGTGCCAGAGGTCAAGATGTATCAAAATATTTTTTTTTTTTTAGTAAACAAATCGCCGCCAATTCCATGCTCTAGGTAATAGGTATCATTACAAATTCCACACTATAGGTAAATATGTATAACCATTACAAATGCTACATTATGATTAATTAAGGTTTATCCTGTTATATCCTACCTCTACCAATATGCAAATTATCCCGTGCGTGTCCCAACTTGTATGTTTGTGTGCGTGCGCGTGTGTGTGTGTGTGTTTTGTCCTTGTGCGTGTGTATCCACTAGCGAGCTTTTAAGTGTATGTTTTTTTACGAAAGAAAGTGTGTTTTTGTACATATATTGATTTGAGCCACTGGACACAAAAAGTTTGGAAGTAGAAATTTTGCGGATTTCAAGGCTTTATAGTAATTTACAACATTGCAAATGCGCGTTCCTTTTGTTTTAGGTTAAGAGAGAGAGAGAGAGAGAGAGAGAGAGAGAGAGAGAGAGAGAGAGAGAGAGAGAGAGAGAGAGAGAGAGAGAGAGAGAGAGAGAGAGAGAGAGAGAGAGAGAGAGAGAGAGAGAGAGAGAGATGACGATGGACACTACTATAAAATTGTGTAAAATTATGTTAATGTTCATGATCATGAAAATGAGATTGATACTAAAGAACTCATGAGGGCAATGTTGATATTACTACTTATAAAACAGTCGCTGACATGGTGACAGAAATTACACCGATATCATAAAAACACGAAAAACAGCCAAAAATACACACTGAAACAATCGTTGGTGAACTCTAAGGGTAAAATCCATCATACTTCTGGTGGTCCCAACAATCTGGGAGTATTCAGATAGGTGGATAGATAGATGGAGAGAGTGAGAGAGAGAGAGGGGGGAGGACAGAGAGAGAGAGAGAGAGAGAGAGAGAGAGACAGAGAGAGAGAGAGACAGAGAAAGACGGACAGAGAGAGAGAAAGGAGGATGAAAAGAGAGAAAGAGAGAGATGAAACAAGGCTTGAAGAGTTGGCAGGAGTACACCAAGCTACAGAATTAATTTTCAATCAAAACTCACGCTAGGAATACCTAAACGTGTCCCTACTGATCACACAACAGGATCAGCATGTGACTAGAAAATGTGAATATAGACTCTGGAGTAACGTTTTGTTATAGGATCTCAATTTTTTTTATAGGATATCAATGTTATAGGAACATCTACTAACTGTAGATTTTCCTGCAACGAGGTAACTGAGCCGACTGAGTTTTACAAGTCTGGAAACTGTAACTGAAATTATTACTGAATGTTGCTGGAAAATTAATCCTGGGTTCGTAAAAACAAGATCATTATAATGGGAATGTTGTGGTCGAGAGAATTTCGCCAGGATACAAACTGTATTATAAAGACTGTAAAACATGTATTGAGGAAGAATCGAAATATAAATTCTTCAGTGAATAAAATCCAATCGCCTTGTACACTGTAACCAAGAGTCTACAACCTACCAAACCACCTACCACGAGGTGCACACAGCTATTATATGATATACCATGCTATATCCTAATTTATGGATGTAATATTTCGTTATCGTGCTTCACGCCCAACGAAGCCAAATCGTACCCTGTTAGTATGCCAGGTGGTGGATGAATAGATGGATGAGTTTAAGAAAAAGTTATGAACATATATTGAGTGTATCATGACTTGCCCGCGCGTGTGTAGGTAGCACGAGTGATAGATAAAGGATATGCTAATGATAATGATAATAATAATATGAATGATAATGATGATTATCATAGTAATGATAATCATCATCATCATCATCATTATAATCATAATAATAATAAAGTGATAATAATGATAATAACAACAATTTGATTATGATAATAACAAAAATGACAGAATAACAATAATAATAAAAGAGTGAAAGAGAGAGAGTTGATGATGCCAATAACCATGACGATGACGATGGTGATGACGATGGTGATGATAGGAACTTTGGTGGTGTTGATGACGGCGATGATGATGAACAACAATAAAGGTAAAACTATATTATGATAACACTAAATATAACGATCTGACGCCTGTGACATGAAGAATTAAGGTCTGTGCACATGAACAAATCACATACTGATTGAACATAACATAAAGGCCTTGTTGATACCACGAAACTAATACCAGCATTACGGAAAATTTGAATTCCAGAAAGAAAAAAAAAAATGTAATAAATCTACTCATAACGCATATAATGTATATGACAAGTATGCCATAACATATAAATACATATTATGAATACAAACTTGCGCACGAGACTATATAAGACACTCCTTTTTGAAACATCTATGCAGCATGTGGTAAAAAGAAATCAGACAATGCTTTACGACGTATTAAAAGACCTACTAATCATACATTACCAGTATAATGTTGCTATATAATGCAATAACCATTTATCACGATAAAGCAAAGTATGCCAATGCTTCTTAAAAGGGCATATGTGAAGCAATTATCGTGCATTGTTTTTTCTTTGAATATTGTTCAATAATGTATGCCTAGCCTATTCATGCATTTTTTTTTCGAAGAGACCCTTTGGTATTCCCAAAAATCCCATAGCAACGCCCTTAGCAACGAAGATGCAAAACCCGGCGGTCTTCGGCAATCCCCGGTTGTGACGTCATTCCCAGAACCAGGGAGAATCTTGTTGAATAGCGTGATACACACAGTGCACCCGCGAGTCAAGGATATCATGGAATTGTCCCAGTTTCAAGCTATTAAAGTTCGTAACAAAGGATGCCGCGACGTTGTGTAGCAATTCATTGTTCCCATTCATGTCACCAGCTATTTGAATGGGCAAAAGACTGCGACAGAGCAAGGAAATGAACACGTTTTGTGCATGACAAGCTGAGCAACTTTCAGCCTGTGCCAACCAGCGTACTTTGCCTGAAACACTTCGAGCCCGATTGGTTTGCGAACAGAATGGCTTACGACATGGGATTTGCAAAACGGTAGGCCATTTCCAATTTATATTTGTCATGATCACAACAGCGCCAAAACTCTGGGTAAATCTAAGTAAGACAGCCGCGCCTATTTGTTTGTTTTTCTCCTATCCCCTTCAATCTTTGGTGACTCGTGGAGAATTGGGGATGTAGGTGGGCGGGGGGGGGGGGGCACACACGGAAGAAATAGTAGAAATAAAAGTGAAAATTTTGAAAAAAATGCATAATCCGAACGAGATTCCGGCGCCGCTGCGGGATGCGACGGTGTCAATGTTGCCGAAATCCCGACGAAATTTCTTAATGTAACCTAACGTAACCTAACCAACCTAACCTAACCTAACCTAACCAACCTAACTTAACTAACTAACAACCTAACCTAATCAACCTAACGTAACCTAACCTAACCTAACCAACCTAACCTAACCTAACAACCTAACGTAACATAACTAACCTAACCTAACCTAACAACCTAATACCTAACGTAACGTAACCTAACCTAATCACCTACGTAACTAACTAACCTAATAACCTAAACCAACCTAACCTAACCTAACCTAACCTAATAACCTAACCTGTAACCTAACCGTAACCTAATAACTAACCAACCTAAATAACTAACTAACCTTAACCTAACCTAACCTAAACCTAACCTAACCAACCTAACGTAACCTAACCTTACCTAACCTAACCTAACCTAACCTAACCTTACGTAACCTAACGTAACCTAACCTAACCTAACCTTCCAAACCCCCGTATTTTGTATATTGCAGAAAGCTCACAGTATTGTTTTCATTCGAGACGGTCCGAGACAACGATGTTTGTGGACTTCAGAGAGGCAACTTTTGAATTTCAATTAATTAAAGCACAACCAGTGAGGTCCCCACAATTTTATTAACTTCCCCGACATGTACGAACTCTAGTCAATAATTCTGTTATACTTTCCCCTGTATATATAGTGCGGCTGTCTAAATTAGTATTGCCAAACTCTGAAAGAGCGCTTTTGCTTGGCGGCGTAGCAAACATTCATTGCGTGGGTACGACACAGTGTGCCGAGTGCATTGCAAGTGTGCATGTATTACTACACAGAGATAGGGTAGGTACACCCCAAAAAGCACAACACAAATAAATACCGATGCCCCTCCACTCGCGAATGGATGTAGGTCTGCGCCACGGGTGCAGACAAAAGATATCTCAGCCTGCAGAAATTTTGTACCATACAGAAGCGGGATCACACGTTCGACTACAAAAAATAATTTAGAAAATTACCAGTCATTCAATCTCTTCGGGTCTCGACGCCACTCCATGTCTGGCTGGTTTGGCACAACTTCCACATCCGCAGCGTCGGCGCGTGCATGTACGGTCCAACAACCATCAACCCTTGATATTCCTCTTCTTCCAACTCTTCGAAGACATAGGCACCCTCTGAAGAAGTTGTACCAGTGTTCTCGTCAGAATAATCCGATGAAACTTCACTGATACAATGCCGCTGTAGTCTTGTTGTGAGTCCGCCATGTTGTACAATGTATTGAATGCAGAGAATGCTGTGATCGTGTTCTGGAATTGACGTCACACATCCGGGTTCCGGATTTTCGCGGAAATTATAACTTGACTTCGGAAAATCGAAATAGATCAAATTTAGGGAATTATTTTCAGATTTCCTTTTTTACTCATATTAGAGAGATGGTTTGCGAGCTCATTCTCCCATTTTAAAATTTTCAGTTGTTACTTCACATATGCCCTTTAAGGTTGTGTAAATTATTCGAACTGTATAGAATCATTGAGAAAGTCAACGATTCATGTCAAAATGATAACTGATAATCCTTCTATCAGTGATAAAAATATTAATGATTGATAATGGTGACAGCGATGATGGCAACTCATTGCTGATGAATGATGATAATAGATCACAATAATTGCAACAATATGATTATGATCATCATCATCATAAATGTAATATAATGAATTGATTAGTAATATTTATTGTTATATTATTATTATTATTATTATTATTATTATTGATATATGACATATAATATATAATGATAATCATTATTATCATCATCATTCTTATTCTGCTTCTTCTTATTCTTGTTATTATTATCATTATTGTTATCATCATCATTATTATTAACATCATCACTATCATTATCATCAACATTATCATTATTATTGTTATTATCATTATTATAATCATAACTATCATTATCATATATCATTATCATCATCATTACTATTACTTGCATGTTGTGTAGTACACGAATGCTTACTTTTTTGCAATGATAATATGAATATTTCTGATAATGATAACGATAATGATGAAATGATGTTATGATGATAATAAGACTAATTTACATACCGTGCTGACAGAGAAACGTCAATATCTTTAGTCCTCAGTCCCTGTTATATCAGGAATTTCCTAAAAAAAATGTTTATAAGGCAAACACGGATTGTATGGACAAGCCCCTCATTTGGCTATCTACATCATAAAAAATAGAATGAACGGATAAAACAAAGAAACTTTAACATGCGCAAAGACCAAAGAAACGCACACAGTGAAGGCATGAGACAGGGGCCCATAAATCAATCTTTGTAACGTACAAAAGCGTTCTGGGCCGTGTTGCTCACTTCATGTGCGAATAAGCTGGTTAGCAATATAGTTTTCTCTTTGGAACTACTGATATATTTCTTTCTCTCTCTCTCTCTCTCTCTCTCTCTCTCTCTCTCTCTCTCTCTCTCTCTCTCTCTCTCTCTCTCTCTCTCTCTCTCTCTCACACACACACACACACACACACACACACACACACATATATATATATATATATATATATATATATATATATATATATATATATACATCCATACATAAATGCATACATAGATAAATACATACATATACATAGATAGATAGATAGATATATAATATATATATATATATATATATATATATATATATATATATATATAATATATATATATGTATGTGTGTGTGTGTGTGTGTGTGTGTGTGTGTGTGTGTGTGTGTGTGTGTTTATATATATTTTTTTTCCGCTTCTTTTTTTTTTTTATTTTTTTTATTATATCTTCTTTCATTTACTCTACTTTCTTTCTACTTCTCCCTCCTCTCTTCGCCCAAGGATCCAAACAGCCGCAGGATCAGCTGATCAGCGATGGAGGACAGGGTAATTACATCCCCCTGTCCCGTCACGTGTATTTTGGGCTTCGGTTTAATGTTAGTGCGGACCATTGGGAGTAAAATCTGTTTTTATTTGAATTTGGCCCATTTTTTTCGGTCTCTTCTTAGTGGTCACGCATAAATATTCTTGTCCTAATGTCTTTCAGGAAGAACGATGTGTTTGATGATTTTGGGTTTATGCAGTGTCCGTTTCGGTGTGAGGAATTCTCTGTACTGTCTGTATAATTTATTTTACTGTAGCCTTCACGGAATTTATCTTTGTGTGTGTATTTTGTGAGTTTGGTTGTAGTTTATTGCGTGTGCGCGCGTGTGTGAAGATAGTAATATTAATGATAATGATATGAATTATGATAAGAAATAATGATGATAATAATGACAGCAATGGCAATGATAAAAGTAAGAGTAATAAAGAAAATAAAAATAAAAATGATAGTATTGGTTATAATGATTATAATGATAACGATAATAATAGCAATAAAACAATGATGATAATATTGATATTAATGATGATAATAATAATAATAATAATAATAATAATAATAATAATAACGATGATGATAATAATAATAATAATATCAATAATAGCAAGATAATTATCATGATAGTAATAATGATAATGATAATATTGATAATAGCAATGATAATGATATGATAATAATAATGTAATGATAGTATTGCCAATGATAATAGTAATGATAATATAAATAATAATGATGATAATAATGATAATGATAATAATGAAAATAATAATGATAATAATAATAACAATGGAAATTATCATAATAATGATATTAATGATAATAATAATGATAACATTAATAATAATGAAAGTAATGAAAATGATAATAATAATGTACATAATAACATTAGTAATGATTATAATGATAAGGATTATAATGATAAGGATAAAAACAATAATGAAATGGCATTACTATAGTAATGATAATACGAATAATAATAATAACAAAAATAGTAATAACAATAATAACAAAAATAATAATAATAACAATAATATCAATAATGATAATGATAATAATGAAAATAAGAGCAACAGAAACAATGCTATTACTACTACTGATGATGATTATGAAAATGGCAATGACAATAACATAACAATAAAGACAATAACAATAATAGCAGTGAAGCAGTAGCAATAATAGTGATATAAACTAAGAGTAATGTTAATAATAGCAATAATGATAAAAATGATGATAGTAATAATAATGATGATTATGATAATAATGACAATGCTAATGTTAATAATGATAATGATAATCATTACCACTATTATAATAATGATGATTATGATAATACTAATGATAATAATGATAATGATAATGATAGTAATTATGATGATAATAACATTAATAATAACAATAGCAATGGAAATAATAATAATGATAATGATAATAACATTAATAATAACAATAGTAATAATAAATAATAAATAATAATAATAATAATGATAATATAATAATAATAATAATAATAATAATAATAATAATAATAATGATAATCATTATAATGATTATAATCATAATAATAATGATATTGATAATGATAATAATAATGATGATAATAATAATAGTAATGATAATAACAATAGTAATAATAGCAATAATATTGATAATGATGATGATAATAATAATGATAATGATGATAATAATAATACTAATAATAATGATAATAATAATGATAATAATAATAATAATAATTGTAATAAATAATGATATTAATGATAATAATAACAATGATAATGATAATAATAACAATGATAATTATAATAATAATGATAATGATAATGATAATAGTAATAATAATGATAATAATAATAATAATAATAATAATAATAATAATAGTAATAACGCGAATGATAATGAGAATAATAATAACACTAATAATGATAATGATATTAATATAATAATAATAATGATAATATAATATAATGAATAATAATAATGATGATGATGATGATGATAATAATAATAATAGTAATAATAATAATAATGATAATAATAATAATAATAATAATGATATGATAATAATAATAATAATAATAATAATAAATAATAATAATACTAATAATAATAATAACTATAATAATAATAATAATAATAATAATAATGATGATGATGATAAGAAGAAGAATGATAATAATAAGAAGAAGAAAAAGAAGAACAATGATAATCTTAATGATATTAATGATGATGATGATGACAACAAAACTAAAGATAATTACGATAATGATAAAAGTGATAATGATAGTGATAACAATAATAATGTCAAGGATGTTAACAATAACGATAATAATGGTAATAATGATAATGATAATAATGATAATGACAATGATAATGTTGATGATAATAATAATGATAATGAGAATGAAAGGATATCAATAACATGATAATGATAATAACAAACACGATAATTATAAAATGAAAATGATAATAATAATAATAGTGTTGTTGATAATGATAGAAATGATAATAATGATGATAATAATGATAGTAATAATAGCAATAACAACGATAATAACAGTGATGATGATAATGACAATAGTGATAATAACATTGTTAATAATAATGATAAGGATGATAATAATAATAATAACAACAACAATTATAATAATGATAATAATAATGATAATGTTATAATAATAATAATAATAATAATAATAATAATAATAATAATAGCAATGATAAGGATAGTAATAATGATGATGATAATAATGATACTAATGTAATGAATTATAGTAATAATGATAATGATAATAATGATAATAATGATAATAATGAAAATGATAATGATAATTATAATAACAATATCAATAATTACAATAAACGTAATAATAATGATGATGATAATGATAATAATGATAATATTAATGATAATACTAATAATGATAATAATATTAGTAATAATGATAATATTGATGATAATAATGATCATAGTTATGATTGTAATTATAATGATAATAATAATAATGGTAATAATGAATGATGATGATGATTATATTAATAACAATAATAATGATATAATATAATAATAATAATAATAATAATAAATAATAATAATAATAATAATAATAACAATGATAATATTAAGAATACTG